TCTCTAAATTTCGGTTAGTTTTCAATGAAGGATGAGATGCACTTAATTGATCTATGAGCTCATATATATTTTCATACCACTAAAACTACAAGCACTGTGATCTTTAGTTGTTTACTCACCTCTGCTTTTGTTTTCATGTTCATAGTTTGCTATGAAATTTAGATAAAGAAACTTTATATCTCGCGCATTTAAAAATTAAAAGTAGGAGATGAAAATTAATAAGTGATTGTAAATTTTCTAATTTGAAACCCAAAACTGAAGAAATTTAGATCATCTCATTTCACAATAAATTAAAAAGTCTCATGGGTAAGTGATACCTTAGCGGTGGATGTGGACATGTGGTGGTGATTGAACAACTAATGTCAAACGAGGCCTTAACAATTCCCTCCTCTATGAATGACAAAAACCATCCATCTCAAACCCAATTTATCACGAGTCAAATCATATTTGGTAATATCACTTATGGATCATACCAATAAACAACCATTTAGTTTGGGTCTAAATTTCATTACACTAGCTACCCAAAAGAAAATGAACACCCAAATCTAATGTAAATTTTGAAATTTTCTTTACTGTATAGCTAGATGGTCGATATTATTGTTTCATATGTATAATTAGATAGACTCAAATAGACCCAAATTGTGAGTTCGACTCAAATAGATGCTCTCCTGCTCTAGCTCACTTCCCCATTCCACAAGTCGGTAACTTAAAGTAATCTGGCCAACGAGCCGGGTCAATAGCTAGTTTTTGTAAAGGGACAATAAGGAAAAGTAGGGATTTGGCAAGAGAGCTCACCGAATTTTGGGGCAGATGGCCGAACTTTTGGGAGATAGCGTCATGGTGTGATCTCTGTGCGCCAGTTAATCCACTTTTCAAATCTTCTACATATGTTTAACGGACAATATCTCATTCCCAATACATCAAAATTAAAAAAATATATATAGAAATATCATATATTTTTTACTCTACGGTATAATATTCATTTTGGTATTTGTTTGAACAAGAAAAATCATCATACCACAGTTGTATCACGATATTACTAAAAACAACAATATGATCTTTGTATATCATTTTATGTTTGATTTTTAGATTTATCGTTTATGTTTTCTCCATCTCTTTGTATTCTTGACCTTTCAATTGTTAATTAATTATCCACCACCATTCAATTGTTAACATATTATACACTATATGGAGGAGATCAAGGAATTAACAAACGTAGGTATTCCGATCACACATACCCTCATCGCATCGCACTTATACCGAAGGTAAAATCTCCAACGATGCCCAAGGATTTCAGACCTATAAGTTTATGCAATGAGCTATACAAGATTGTATCTAAAGTCTTAGCTAACCGCATGAAGTGTATTCTGGATAAGGTGATTTCCCCGACGCAGAGTGCGTTTGTACCGGGGTGGTCTATATCTGATAACATTATGGCTGCCTTTGAATGTTTCCACTCGATGAAGCATAGGAAGAAGGGTCGAGTGGGCTATCTAGCTGCCAAGATTGATATGACCAAGGCTTATGATCGGGTGGAATGACATTTCTTAGAGGGGGTTATGTGCAGGATGGGTTTTGTTGACTCCTGGGTATAGGTGATCATGAAGTGTGTGAGGACAGTGACCTATTCAGTTCTTGTTAATGGTCACCGATCCGAGACAATTACCCCATCCAGGGGTCTCCGGCAGGTAGACCCTCTGTCGCCGTATCTTTTTCTTTTCTGTGCAGAAAGTTTATCAGCATACACAGAACTGGCAATCAAGGAAAAGAAAATACATGGGATTCAGCCAGCTCAGGGTGCTCTGATTATATCTCATTTGTTCTTTGTAGATGACAGTATTTTCTTCACCCGGGCTACTATACAATAAAGTATGGAGCTGAAGCGTATCATGAAAGATTATGAGTTAGAGTCTGGTCAACTGGTTAATTTTCAGAAGTCAGCAGTTTCTTTCAGCCATAACACGAAGCCGCATATGAAGCTGGTGAGTAGTGGAATCCTTGGGATGACACTAGTTGAGAAGCATGACAAATATCTAGGGTTGGCGGCTATGGCAGGATGGTCTAAGAAGGAACTATTTGCGGGTATTGTTGAGAGGATCAGGAAAAAGTTAAAGGGATGGAAAGAAAAAACTTTGTCTGCAGCAACGAGGGAAGTTTTGATCAAATCGGTAGCTCAAGCACAACTCACGTATGCTATGTCGGTATTTAAAGTTCCGGATTGAGTCATTGACGAAGTCCACAGCCACATTACAAATTTCTGGTGGGGGCAGCGAGGAGTTGAAAGACAAGCATACTGGGTGCGGCGGGAAGAGATAACGGTTCCAAAAGAAGACGGTGACCTTGGCTTTCGGGATCTAAGGGGCTTTAACCAAGCCCTACTAGCAAAACAACTCTGGAATTTGCTACGTCGACCGAAGTCTCTTATCGCTAGGATTCTTAAGGCAAAGTACCATAGAAGAACGCCCATTCTGGACGCTACTATCAGATATAATCCGAGTTTCATCTGGCGTAGTTTGCTATCGGCGCAAGATCTGCTAAATGGTGGGCTTCGGTGGCGAGTAGGAGATGGCAGAACGATCAGAATTTGGGGCGACAAGTGGCTATCCTCTACCCCTGGCTGCTATGTAAAATCACCTCCTATAGGACTTCCGGTTGACGCTTTGGTGTTTGAACTCATAGAGGAAGAAACAGGCTGTTGGGATGACACAATGCTAGCGGTTTGTCTTAGCACTGAAATGGAGGAGGTAGTTCGTTGCATTCCTCTTCGCAACATTGGGGAATGAGACTTGTTAATTTGGCATGGTAATACCACAGGAGTCTATTCCTTTAAAGATGGGTATGCTCACGGGTATCAACAATATATGTCAAATGTAGGGTTGTCCTCTTATGGAGAAGCTAATTTTGGAAAAGGTTATGGGGCATACAGGTGCAGCCAAAAGTAAAGCAGTTTATGTGTTGGTTTGTGTAGACAGCAGTTTTTATCCGGGTTAAAGTATTCAATTAAACAAAATTTAATTTTTGTTTAAGATTTACAATAGTGAATCTTACATTACCTTATAGCTACTAACATATAAAACGTATTTATAGTTGTTGGAACACGCCATATTTTTCTGTAACTTAATGAGATAGCAAATCTCATTTTGTACAATTCGGATCAGTGAGATTAGCAATAGCAAATCCGAAACAATTTGAAATTGATGACATGCTTGGGTCACACAAATTAACAGCCACTTAATTTAGCTATCGGTGGATTTAGCTTTAAGACTAGTGGTCTTGTGAGGATGTGGCTTTGATTTACTAAAATGAATAACAATTACAACAACTAAAACGCAATTAAATTTTTTTTTAAAAACACAACACACAAAAGAAAAAGGCCAAGTCAATTGATCAGATCCGGTCAACAAAGTCAAAGCCCAAACCCATGTCCAAGGTCAACAAAAGTCAACTATTGGTCAAACATTCAATCAAACCAATCAACAAAGTCAAATCAGTCAAAAATCAGATATGACCAAACCGGTCCGACCCAACCCAGACACTGTTGCAAACTTGGTGAACAAGTTGAATTTTCCTATAAAAAAGAATCCATGGAGTGGAAAAAATGAGAGCTTCGGCTGCCTTCCTCTTCGTTTCATCACACACTTGGCAGAGAGGAAAAAAAGAAGAAACAAAAAAAAAAGGACGAGGACTTCTGGCCAACCCCGTTTTAAACGGGTACCCAGTCCCATTTGGAGGCCAAAGTCCTTCCCATGTCCCAAACCCATATGGGAAACGGGTACCCATTACCCGTACGGGACGGATAATGGGTACCCACAAATACCCAAAGTTTCATTCCCTTGACTGGCTTCATTCCCTTGATTAGCCATGGAAACTATAAACCAAATCAACATAAACCAAATAGACAGATGCTGGAAATTAGAAACATAATTAGTAATTAGCAGAACAAACCTAACTAGTAATTAGAGTCCAGAATATGTACTGTAAGTAGAAAATAAAAGAGAATGGCAGCTACATACGTAAATAGATAACAACGCCGGGTGAATGGTGATGCTGCTGATATTCCCCCTGCTCCTGGCTGGGAAAGTTGGCTGTTGCGGGTCTGCTATTGGAGGCGGCGCAGCAGAGTGAGAAGAAGGAAGCCGCCGCGGCCCGCGCCTGTGAATGAAGGAGGAAGCGCGCGGAGCGGCGGAGACGCGGAGGCGGAGCTAGGGAGCTAGGTCTCGCTGTTGGCCTGTCGCTGAGGCTGGCGCTGCGGCTGCGCTGGGTGGAGGACGCTGTCTCACACTCTCGCTGTCTGACTGTCTCGCAGTTAAGTGAAAGCCGAAAGGGAATAGGCAGCCAGGCAGGGTAAGGGTCGACTAAGGGTAAGGGCCGAAATGGCCAAGGCCCAATGCCACATTTATGAATTAGTGAATTGGGTTGGGGTGTTGGGCTGTGGGCTATTTCTGGTAAATGGGTATAACGGGTACCCACATTACCCAAACGGGTATTTGCGGGTAACCCGCGGGTACCCATATTAGGAATGTACAATCCCAAGTCCCATCCGTTTATAATAATACGGGTAATATGGGTACCCGTAACCCTTAAAAAACGGGACGGGTACGGGTATACCCAAATACCCGTTTCCCGTTGCCCACCCCTATGTACAAACCATTTTATTCTTATTAGTTAATTATTAAAATATTTAATTTTATGTATTCTATAACTATAGACATACTATTATAATTTTATGTATTGCTATGTTAAGTAATACAACCTTTTGGGCCATTTAATTGTGGATTTTCATATAATTAATGTTTTAGTAATACCATAGGTCCAAAATTGAAGGTACTATCATATGAAAAAAAAAATGTTTGGATTTTGTTCAACATAAAATAACGACAATCATAGATGAGATTATCTTCAACTCGTAATTAAACACATTAGTTTTACAATTCTCAAATGATAACATCAAAGTAAAATAAAAATTCATCCACCATACAAGATAAATACTACTACCATTATCACTCCTCGTCAGGCTCTACATCTACATAAATCTCATCATTCTCATCGGAATTGTTGTCGACATAGTCTTCTTCCACTTGTGACATAGTAGGACTCGAGATCAAAACATGGGTAGCAGGAGAGCTTCCACTAGGTCCTGCACGAGAGCTTCCACTAGGTCCTGCAGGTGCACTTGCACTCCGAGCTTGAAAAGCTGCATATACTGGATAACATAAACAATAACAACTTGTTAGAATATTAATTGATCAAGATAACAAATATAAGAATAAAGAGAAAGATTAAATCCTTACCATTTTGAAATACCACTTCATCACCCTCATCTTCTCCATCAGCCACCAACTCGGAGTCTGAAGATCTTATCCAATCTTCACAACAAATCAAAGCCTCCACAACTTAAGGGGATAAGGAGGTCCTAAACGAATCTAAAACTCGACCTCCTGTGCTGAATGCCGACTCAGAAGCAACAGTGGAAATAGGAACAGCAAGAATATCCCTAGCCATCTCAGAAATAGTAGGATATTTCATCCCACTTCGAGACCACCATCCCAAGATGTCAAACTTGTATTCATCCTCTTCTGAACCCACCAATGCTCGTGTAACCATTTCATCATCCTCCTCCTCCTCAAGGTACCTATCAAACTCAGATTTTGAACTTTTTCTGGTTCCTTTCAGAATGGCATCTCTTTTCATTTTCCTGAAATCACCCTTCTTCCCATTCCCACTTCCACTAGGTTCTTGCTCATCTTCCTGAATCACAATGGGAGAACTGCCATGAATTCCGAGTTTATGCTTGTAATGGTCAAACAGAAGACGCATTTCATCTTTCACCTCTTCGGCCAAAGCTTTACCCCTACTCTCACCATATACATTTTTTAAAGCTTGTTCAAGATATTCAACTTTCCGCCTAGGATCTAACATGACTGCCATATAACACAACCGATTCATCTTGGAATTCTCCAACTCATCTTCAAACCAATACTTGGCAAGTTTGGACTTGATTCTATCAGCCATGTAAGACACCTCAAAATCTATACCGTCAGCCCACTCAGATATCATAGTATACATTTCGCATACCTCATCAAACAAGAGGTGTAAAGTCACATATGAAGTCCCAGAAACTCGAACAGTCAAATCATAGAATAGCTTCAGGTAATCAATCAACTGTCCCACACTAGACCAATCATTAGAAGTTGTGATACCAAGGCTTTCATTTCCATATTTTTTTTCATTGAGATGTTTCTTGAATTTCTTATCATTTCTAGCTAATGTCTGAAATGCTTTCTCAAATGGCTTTGCAGATTCCAACATCAGATACGTTGAGTTCCACCTTGTAGCTACATCCAACGAAACAAATTTCTTCGACACTATCTTTTCAAACTCAATGCAATCTTTAAAATTTCTGCTCATAGCTGGTGTAGATTTAACCCACTTCACATACTCTCTCACTCGCTCTACAGATTTACCAGTTTCTTTAAGCCCATCCTTCACAGCCAAATTAATAATGTGAGCCACACACCTCATCTGCAGATATTTTCCATCCAAAATATCTGATCCCCACTTTTTCAACTGTTCCTTCATATGGATAGCAACCACATCATTGACACTAGCATTGTCCATTGTTATACAAAACACCTTCCTAATGCCCCACTCCACCAAACAACTAGCCAATTTCATTTCCAGAATGTTTTGTAACTTGCACAAAGTTAATAATTCTTTTATGCAATTTCCAATCTCTACCAATGAAATGAGCAGTAATGCACATATAATTGAGATTGGACAAATAAGTCCAAGTATCAGTGGTGAGTGATACCATCCCTAAACACTTAGTCTTGAAATAGTCTTTCAGCAACTCTCTATTTTCAAAGAACACCTTGATACAATCCTCTCTAACGGTCTGATGGCTAGGTAACACAAACATTGGACAAACACGAGCCATAAACCGTTTGAACCCTTCATGTTCAACATACCTAAATGGTAATTCATCTATGATAATCATCTCCGCTAAAGCTCTCCTAGCATCAATCTGATCGAATTTCCAAGTCCCAAGAGTGTGTACCTGGCCTCCAGAAGATGATAGATGGTCGACTATCAGCTCACCCTTTTGTATCTTTTCCAAACAACTATCTTTATGATTCCGCAGAGTAGAAGTCCCATATTTAGTGGGAGCCATAAGAACACCATTGCAATAAATGCATCTTGCTTTGTCCAACCCATCCTTCTTAAAACGCTTGAAGTGTGGCCAAACGTCAGACTTTTCTTTCCTTTTTCTTGAAATTGTCTCCTCGTCTATTGTTTGAGCAGGAGGTACATTGGTGGTACCGGTAGACGGTGCAGGAGCAGGAGTAGGATCGGAAGGCGGTGCAGGAGCAGGAATGCTGGTACTCTTAGAGCGTCCTCCACGTCTAGGACGAGAAGCCGATGTGCCTCACTTCCCCTGTCAAAATGAAAAGTTGAGTTGAGTTAAAGCCTGGAATTATTAGTATATGAAAGCATGTATCAGTAACGAATAGAAAATGGATGATTAGAGGGATGAAAATGAAATCTTGTCATATATGCTTGTCCTACACAATATACAAATAGGGTCCATCACTTTAACAACCATACGAATCAGCATTAGATAAACTACTGGATCAAGTTATGAATAAGTTATGAATTTCCTTCCTTCCCCAGGTACTTGGAGCTCCAAGATTGTATCTAGGTACCATTTTGGAGGGTCCGAAACAACTTCACTATCTCTTTCTTTGCTTTGCTCCTGTCGAGATTTAATCAATGGAAGCAGAGTGACATCCAACCCGTGGCGGATCTCCAGCAACTCGATCCAAAGCTTTCGGAATAAAATCCTCGTCAACTTTGGCATGAAATTTAGGACATTGAACCTGATAAAATTTCCAATCGTAGCCCTCTGTGTCCTCTCAATATCTACCAACAATATTGTTTATTGTGGTTTAGAGTTAAATACTTGGAGCTGCTGTGGCAACCGAATGAGACAAAACAGGCAGAATGATTAACATTCGAGGAAGTTATGCGTGTCTAGCTATTCTTTGCGAGAGCAAATGATTTCTCTAAAAGAGGGAAGTGTTGAAACCTTTCTCGTCAGTTATTAATGAATGAAAAATAAGAATTTTTGTCATATGATTCTAAGCATGAAATTGAGAATCTCTATGAATACTAGACAAGATAGATAGATTTTATGTATGATAATGGTGACATTGAGATATGTTTTTCTCAATGATTAGAATACAAGTGTGCATATTGACGAGTAGAGTAATTTTAATACATGAATGTATACTTTGAAGCATATATGAGTTTATATGCTAGTGGAATGGTTTGTATGCCCATATTCAGTTTTGGAAGAAGTACTGTTTGTCAGTACTAAGCGAGTCATTAGTGCGAGTTTGAACCTAAAAGGTTCAAGAATCAGAATAGCAAATTGAACCAAATCCACATCAATTAGAATGATACCCTTTGTGGTAACCAAAATATTGTCACCCAATCCTATAAGAATGACACTACGTTTCCCTATTAACATTGAGGGAAACTAGGTCATATTACACGAAAGTGTAAGAACAAGTTTAACCTAGTATTGGTGTTAACTTGATTAAAGAAGAGGATTTGGTAGTAATCACTGAGGTGGTGACAGAGGTTGAACTTAATGGCAACTTTGAGGAATGGTTGTGGGATAAAGGTTATGAAAGTGTTGTTGAGTACTGCTCACTTCACTATTGTAATGGTCATGAGAGTATGCATGTGGTGATATGTGTTTAACTATAATGTTAGTGTGATGAATTCTCATATGTATGATATGCATGTATTTTATGAAGAATTGAATTGCTAAGTCACATTTCCATAGTGACTATGATAGAAGTGAAATTTCCTTATACATGATAAAAGACCCATAAATACATTATTAGAGAATCATAATTTTTTATATGATTTATTGTGATATGGGTGAATACAATGAGATGTCAATTTTGAGTGGTATGAAATTATTTATCACACTGCACTAATTTATATGTGATGCCTTTTGACATGTGAATGATATAGTTTGAGAATCAGTGCAATGATGCCAATTGACTTTCATTTAAATTAAGATATAGTGGGGGTATTGTAACACCCTACCCTATACGTATTACCTAATCATATTGTTCATACAATTGCAGCGGAAATAATCTCGGGTGTTACATTAATTATCAAAATTTACCTAAATAAAATTTCGACATGAATTACTCGCGTAATGGGCTAACAGTTCTTGCAACTTATCCTGCAAAATAATTCATCACAAACATATATACTCACAACCATAAGCATTGGCTTTCATAGCCAAAGTCACAGTTTCATACTACACAACTGCATACTATACTGATACAAGCCATAATCGTCACAACTTACATAATTACAAAAATATACACACATCATCAACTTTCCACACCTGTGGATATCTCACACTACATCAGAAGCTAGTATGCACATGAAAAACGTTCTCAAAACATTTTTACAAAAAGGTGTGGATCACTGGCCAAAATCCCGAGTAGTAGTCCAAGCACAGAATAGTTGAAGACCATACCTCATCCTGGCTTCAACTCTAGCTCCTCTCCCACCTAACACTTATCTACTGCTGCTGCTGATGATCTGCTTACACATAGCATAAGCAGAGAAGAAGAATAAAAGAGGGTTAGCTCATAGCTGAGCGAGATAATCATAGCATCGTGAGTTCATAACATAGCATACCACTACCATACATCAAGCAAACAAGCCAAAGCACTAGGATCAGATCTCAGCCCTCCGACATCCCAATAGGCAAAAGACTCAACCACCTTGACTTATGCATATGCATCTTATCATGTTTTACTTATAGGCGCCTTGCTACTCCCATGCTAATAATTCTCCCGGGAAACATACCCCACATCCCGTCGGATGTAGTCATACATACCCCAACATCCCGTCGGATGTGGTCATACATACCCCACACCACTATGGGTGTAGTCATACCCCGACACCGCTCTGGGTGTGGTCATATCTTCACTGTCGCCTTATTCAACCTCCAGTAGTCAATGCACATTCTCATGGAGCCATCTTTCTTCTTGACAAACAAAACCGGTGCACCCCAAGGTGAGATGCTAGGTCGAATAAACCCCTTGTCTAACAATTCTTGCAATTGTTCTTTAAGCTCCTTCAGCTCAATTGGTGCCATTGAAATTGGTGTTGTCCCAGGTACCAATTCAATATCAAACTCTACTTCCCTTTCTGGTGGAAGGCCGGGAAGTTCTTCGGGGAATACATCAGGAAACTCCCTTACCACCTCTACATCCTCAACCTTCTTAACATTTACTACAGTAACTTGAGCAAGAAAGGCTTCACAACCTTCCTTCACTAATCGAAAAGCTTCCAAGGCAGAAAGAAAACCATGAGTCTCCTTTTTCTTAATGCCTCGGAATACAACAGGACCTTTATCTGGTGTGTTAAATAACACTTCTTTCTTTTGACAATCCACAACAGCTCCATGTGTTGCCAGAAAGTCCATTCCAAGGATGACATCGAATTCATCAAAAGGTAGCAGAATTAAATCTGCTGCTAGGAAAGCTCCTTCCACACAAATGAAGGAACTTCTAATAACTGAGTCTACCTTCAAGGTATCTCCCACAGGTGTTTTAACACATAAGGTATAACCTAGCTTATCTGGAACTAAGCGTAGCATATGTGCAAACGTATATGACATGAATGAGTGAGAGGAACCAGTATCGATCAAAGCATATAATTGCTTGCCAAGGATAGAAAGCATACCAGTCACAACTTCTGGTGCCACTTCTGCCTCACCT